CGACCCGGATAAAATTAAAGCTATCTTGGAAATGTATCCTCCTAAAAACTTGAAACAACTACGTTCCTTCTAGGGGAAGTTTGAAGAGAAATGTCAACAGACTTTCGAGGACGTTAAACATTATTTAATGACACCTCCTGCCTTGGCAGCCCCTATCCTAGGGAAAACTTTGATACTTTATATCGCGGCCTTAGACAACTCTCTTGGAGCCCTCTTAGCCCAAGTCAATAGAGGTTAAAGAAAATGCACTCTCCTACTTGAGTCGTCGCCTAATACCGATGGAGATAAGGTATCCACTATTGAGAAGCATTGTCTGACATTCATTTTCACTGCTCAAAAGCTTAGACATTACATGCTTTCTCATAAGATTACCCTAATCTCGAAACTTAATCAATTGCAATATCTGATGACCCGACCAACACTCTACAGACATTTCTTCCCCTCAGTGCTACCAAGGGACAGATACTAGCAGACTTTCTCAGTACACACCCACTGCCAGCTATGTCCTCTCTCAATGATGAGTTACTAGACGAGCAAATACTAAAAATAGATTTCTCCACTACGCAACGCTGGGAGATATACTTCGACGGTGCTTCATTAGCTAGAAAAGACAAAGGAATAGGCACAGTTATACCGGGCAAAGCAGGGATCAGTTTGATCTTTATCACACCAGATAAGGGTATGTTGAGGTTCTCATCCCACCTGATAGAGGCGTGCACCAACAATGAAGTAGAATAAGTAGCTTTAATCATCGGTTTGGGAATGGAAATCTTAGTGGATATAACAAACATTGCCATCTATGGTGACTCCGAACTCGTTATCCAACAAGTCGCCGGACAATACAAAATTTTGAAATCAAGACTAGCAGAATACCATCAGTACATGAAGAAGCTCCTGGAGCACATTCCTGATGTAGCTTTATACCAGATTCTTAAGGAAGATAATGCCCATGTCGACGCTTTAGTAAAACTTGCTAAGGAAATGGCATGTCCCCCGGGGGATTCCATTGAAATCACAGTGCAAGGAAGTCTTTTCTCAGATCGATCTCAAAGCTCTACACAAGCTTGAAAAAGAAGAAGTAATAAATACAGTTGTAGACATCAAGGAAGATTGCCACAAGCCATTAATAGAATATTTTCATACTAGAAAGCTGCCAGAAGACAAGTCTGAAGCACACCATATCATAAGAAGGGCCATATCTTTATAAGAATGGCTATGTCATACGCTCTGGTGGGAAACATTTTCTACAGAAGATCATTCGATGAGATGTGGCTACGATGTTTGAGCAGAGCTGAAGCACAGAATATTGTAAAAGGGGTACATGCTGCATTGTGTGGCGCTCACCAGTCAAGGCCAAAAATGAAAATGAAGATCAAAAGACTTGGGTATTATTGGCCAGCAATGATGTCCGACTGCATGGATACAGCCAGAAAATGTCACCAATACCAAGTTGATAGGGTGGTCTTACACCAGCCTCCGAATGTGTTGCACCCAACTGTTTCCTCATGGCCATTAGAGTTCTAAAGGGCACAGGTTTATACTTGCCGCTACAGATTATTTCTCCAAATGGGCAGAGAAAGTACCATTACGTGAGGTTATGGCACAACACGTCCTTCATTTTTTTAAAAGCCAAAATGTCTACCATTTCAGAGTACCGTGAAGAATAATTTCCGACAATGGGACAGCTTTCAGAAGCACAAAGATCAATAATTTCATCAAAAGACATGGGATAGATTGGAGATACTCTATGATTTACTATCCCAGAGCAAATGGTCTGGCTGAAGCTTTCAACAAAATACTTTTATCGATTTTAAAGAAAACACTGGATGAAAAAAAAGGGATTGGCATAACAAACTATTAGAAGCTTTATGGGCCTACCGGACGACTTTCAGGACTCCCACTCAGTTTACACCCTATATGCTTGTGTATGGGTCCGAGGCCGTGCTACCACTAAATGTCCAGACTCCGTATCTTAGAGTTGTTGTTGCCAACCAACTCACAACAGGAGAAAGTACAAAACTCAAACTTGATGAACTAGAAAATCTTGAGGGAAAACGATAGAAGCACAACAACATTTGGAGCTTTACAAGGCGAAGATGGTACAAGCTCATGATAATTTGGTCCGCACAAGGACATTCAAAGTTGGTGACCTTGTACTCGTGCTCAGAAGGCCTATTCTTGCATGCCGGAAAATAGGTGGAAAATTTGAACCAACTTGGGAGGGACCATTTGTCGTTAAATAGGTCTACACAGGATGAGCCTACGAGTTAGTGGACTTCTTAGGTGAAAGTCCCATGTTACCAATAAATGGATGATATTTAAAAAATCTATTTCACAACCTGATGCCGTTTGCCTCTGCTTGCTTTGAAACTTCAAAACTTTGATTGTTTTGAGGTTATCTATGTGGCCAAATGTCTATGACCGGGTCATGTCTATGACCGGGTCCAAATTTTGTAATTAACCTCAATATAATGAAAATTTTAAGAAAAATTTTAAGCTTCAAATTTTTTCCTTTCCACTTTTGAGTATAATGTTCCACAAAAATTTAGACAAAATTTATACATAAACAAATAATTCATTTCACTAAAATAAGCTAAAACTCACTTCAATAAATACTTAGTTTTGTTCTTGTTCTTGCCAAGTTTTGGCCCACTGACGTTTTTTCCTGTCATCTGCAAAAAAATGTCGAGACAGAGGCTGATCTTTGCTTTCAAGGATGGTTAGAGCCTCGCACTAAATGAGGAAAGGACACCTCAAGGTAACATCATAAACTTTGACTTGGACTTCGATCAGGTCGACATGAGCTATGAGGGTCCCCTGATGGACATAATCAGTCATCGCGAGAAAGAAGGGCTACCATCGCTATTAAAGATCAGCACTAAATAGGCTTCCTCACTGAAAAGGAAGAAAGTGATAGCGCAGCAAAACGAGGGAAGGGCTCAGTCGTCTGCCCTCCATGGTAGCTACACCGGCTGGAGGCTTAGTAGCCACCAATAGCGAACGACTGCCAGGTACTTTGCTTTGCAGGACGCAACGCAGGAACACCAGCCGCAAGAAGCAGAGAGCTTCTCTACGAGAAGACCGCAGACGTCAGAAAGAGACAAACAACTTACTCACCCCTATTCCTGAGGGGCATATTTATGATCCAGACATGAAAGAAACTTCTGCCGGCCTACCCACTATAGATGAAGAACCGGGGTTCGTCACAGAGCCAGACACACCTTTAGCTTCAGATGTTTAATGCAAGGGTTGCCTGACGTGCGACGCAGAAATACCTGCAGGGACATCAGCCACAGGGGCATGTCTAGAATGCATGGATTGCGATGTTCTACATTTACAATGCTTCAGTACATTGGAAGAGTATACCTCCAGCACCGATGGGTCTCAGACTTCAAATTTTATGATGGATGAGTCATACGTCCCACTGGGGACAGATCAATATATACCATGAAGCCCAGGGTCGTACATCCCGCTAGAAGCTGATTCTCGTGTTCCAGATCAATCAGCGCCAGTTTGGGTTCCTATCGATATTCAAGGGGAGGAACGCCCGTGAAAACTACCGACTCCTAGTATAATGGAGTAATATAAAATAAGTAAAGTAAATAAAAGAGAATTTGAATTTTACGATGAAGTCAAAGGAAGAATCATAAACATACTAGAAGGCCTGGAGATGTATACCAGGGTTTTGTATCCCAGGGTTTTCTCCGAGAGTGACGAAAGAAGCATTCTCGACTGTATCTTCGATTTGAGTGATAGAGGCCGAGCAGGCCTTCCCATGGAAAGAACATACTCTGAGCCGAAGAAATGGATGAGAGGAAAAGGGAGAATCACCATTGAGTGCGGCTGTTGTTATAATTTCACAAACGACAGACAAGGAAATCCACCAGGGATCCTTAGATATGACCAAGTAGATCCACTACCTTCTATAATAAAGTTGATGATCAAGGGAATTGTCAGATGGAGCATACTGCCAGCTACCTGCATCCCAAATAGCTTCATCATCAACATATATGACAAGGGAGACTGCATACGTCCTCACGTTGATCATCATGATTTTGTAAGACCCTTCAACACGGTCTCATATTTTAGCAAGAGCAATATATTATTTGGGAAAAAGATTGGCATTGTCGGCCCTGGCGAGTTTAGAGGAACTGTAAAGATTCCGTTGCAAGTTGGTTCAGTTTTGGTCTTGAAAGGAAATGGGGCAAATGTTGCTAAGCACTGCATTCCAGGGGTAAGACACCATAGGGTGTTCGTGACCTTCCATAGGATGGATAACAGCAAAATACCATATGGGTTTCAGCCAGACCCAAAACTGGAAGAGCTACTGTCGTACAAGCTATGAGATGGTTGTACCTTTAAGTAGATGTGAAGGGAACTCTTATCCTGGAGCATGGCTTAAAAGGTCTGCTCGATCAGGAGCTTGTCGTACCTGATACAGATGGTCAGAGGGTTCACTTTCTTTTATAGCAACATGATATGTATCTGATATATTCATCCCACAATGTATTCATGGCATGAGATGTTCTGGATGTACTTCAACATGGACTATATTATACCTTTTTGAGGTGTTAATGTTGAATCTGTGACATCTTTATTGGAGAAAATTAATGGAAATTTATCTCAGAAATGTGCCTTTTTGTCAGTTACCTTTTTGTGCGATGGATGGAAGCCACAAACTACGCGTTGGTTCAAAATTTTGATGAACGAAGAACGAAACAATATATCTTTAACAATACATAAAATTTAAATAATCACAAATGAATAAACAACAAAATAAATTTCTTTTGAAAATCAACCAATTAAAATTAAAATTTTATGGACATGTTTTGAAAAATTAAATGTGATAAAAACAACAAGAAAAAAATTGAATATGTTGAGTGGATTCTCTTGGTTTCAGAGTTTTTTACTATTTGTACGCGCAACATAACCATCTTTATCTACATTAACTCTCTTCACATCCTCCCGGAATTTCACATTCTGCAAAAAACCCCACAAAACTCTACAAATCCTCTTCAACAAAATTAACCTTTTCACATGACACATTTATATAAATTCAACATCACAAACTCTCTACACTGTTTTCATATGACTCTCGGAGTCAGTACCCAAATTTTGACTCTACATCTTCGAGATTGGTGTAAGACCCCCTTTAATTGAACATGGCATCCTATCCTTAATCTTCGAGGTCGGTTCCCGACTTTCGACTCTCTTTTCAAAAATGATAACTAAAATTCAATTATCATTTCCGAATCAGTACTTAAATTCTGATTCCTTCTCAGATTTTCATATTCTTTCACATATTCCCCACAAATTCACATGTGTGAATCTGCATATTTTCTGCATAAGCACACATATTTTCTTGTTACCTCTTGAGCTGGATATGAGTTCTAGTGTTTTCCTTCTCAATGTAGCACATATATTCTCTTGTCACCTCTTGGGTTGGATGCGTGTCTTAGTGCTTTCCTTCCTAACGTGACATACATATTTTCTTGTTACCTCTTGAGTTGGATATGAGTCCTAGTGCTTTCCTTCTCAATGTAGCACACATACTCTCCTGTCATCGCTTGGGTTGGATGTTAGTCCTAGCGCTTTCCTTCCTAACATGACACACAAATATTTTCTTATTATCTCTTAAGTTAGATGTGAGTTCTAGTGCTTTCCTCCTCAATGTAGCACATATATTCTCCTGTCACTGCTTGGGTTGGATGTGAGTCCTAGAGCTTTCCTTCCAAACGTGACGCACACATATTTTCTTGTTACCTCTTGAGTTGGATGTGAGTCCTAGTGCTTTCCTTCTCAATGTAAAACATATATTTTCATGTCACCCCTTGGGTTGGATGTGAGTCCTATCGCTTTCCTTCCTAACGTGACACACACATATTTTCTTATTACCTCTTGAGGTGGATGTGAGTGCTAGTACTTTCTTTCTCAATGTAGCACAATATTCTCTTGTCACCGCTTGGGTTGGATGTGAGTCCTAGCGCTTTCCTTACTAACGTGATGCACACATATTTTCTTATTACCTCTTGAGTTGGATGTGAGTCCTAGTGCTTCCCTCCTCAACGTAGCAAACATTTTCTTCATCATCGCTTGAGTTGGATGTGAGTCCTAGTGCTTTCATTCCTAACGTGACATGTATATTCTCCCTGTCATATGTAAGTTTGAATATAACTCCCCACTGGTAACTCAAACTGGTATAGTCCTTTCTTTCTGGAGACATATCCTTAACAGTCGTCGTCTTCTACACTGTTGATACCCATTGGAGCCGGATGTGAGCCTCTGTGTTTTCCATATCGATTCGGTCCTCCCATACAATCATATTCTCATAATTTGAAATCAGTTTCAAGACCACCTTAAATGGATTATGGCATCTGATTCTTATTTCAGAATTAATACCCAAATTTCAATTCCCACCTCGGGGTCAGCACTTATATACTGACTCCCATCCTTTATAAATACCTGAAATTTCATAACTCAAAATTCACTCTCCGATCCCCAGCAAGAGTCCCTACTCATTGATTTCAATCAAATGATCATCTGCTAATTTCCCAGCAAAAAAAACTCACACACACAACTCTACAAGCACATATATTCTCTTGTCACCTCTTGGGTTGGATGCGTGTCTTAGTGCTTTCCTTCCTAACGTGACATACATATTTTCTTGTTACCTCTTGAGTTGGATATGAGTCCTAG